ATTAACTTTTACAACACAAAATAAACATCATCTAATTAAATAAATTTATTTTTCATTTCTTTATAAAATAACCAGGGGGTAAGTATTATATTATAAATTAACATTACAACAACACAAAATAAATGTCATCTAATTAAATAATTAACTTTTACAACACAAAATAAACATCATCTAATTAAATAAATTTATTTTTCATTTCTTTATAAAATAACCAGGGGGTAAGTATTATATTATAAATTAACATTACAACAACACAAAATAAATGTCATCTAATTAAATAATTAACTTTTACAACACAAAATAAACATCATCTAATTAAATAAATTTATTTTTCATTTCTTTATAAAATAACCAGGGAGTAAGTATTATATTATAAATTAACATTACAACAACACAAAATAAATGTCATCTAATTAAATAATTTGTTTTTTTTTTTTTTCATAGAGTGTAAGTATGATATTATAATTTGACTTTTACAACACAAAATAAATTAAATAAATTAATTTTTTATTTCTTTATAAAATAACCAGGGGGTAAGTATTATATTATAAATTAACATTACAACACAAAATAATTAAATATTTTGTTTTTTTATTTCATAGAGCGTAAGTATGATATTATAATTTAACTTTTACAACACAAAATAAAAATCTTTTAATTAAATAATGTGTTTTTTTATTTCATTATAATAACCAGTTGGTAAGTATTATATTATAATTTAACTTTTACAACACAAAATAAACATCTTCTAATTAAATTTTATTTCATTATAATAACCAGTTGGTAAGTATTATATTATAAATTAACTTTTACAACACAAAATAAACATCTTCTAATTAAATAATTTGTTTTTTTATTTCATAGAGTGTAAGTATTATATTATAATTTGGGGCATGCTGCAACAAAACCAGACAAAGTGAACATTGGTGAATTATCTGTATCATGCCGATCACTATATGTAAATAAACATGTGACAAATCGCCTGACTGGTAGTTTTTCAAATTAGGTAAAACACTAGCTGATCAATTCCCTTATGCATCAGTCAATCACAGAGAAAGTTTGAAATACGCGTAAAATACGCGTAAAATATCTTTTACACTGGAATTTTTTCGGACGTGATTTGGATTTCTTATTCGAATAAAATCAAGACTAAATAAAAAAATGTATAAAGTCATAGATCGTGTTGAGGCTTTTGCAGTGCGTACACCCCTCTCCCTTTTGAATGCTACATCATTGGTATTTACGGCTGTTGGTAATGGACCATTGGGAACAAAGCGAAATGTTGAGGATATAATACAAACTGCAATCAATGTTGCCTTAGTAAAGATAAATGATGACAAACGAAAACTACACTTACATAAGATTTCGAAGAAGGTAAGTTTCCCTTTTACGAGAAGTCTTCTTCCATCTGCCACAATGATTATCTGCCATAAATTTGAAAAAAGGCCATGCCCTGAAAAGCTGATTGTGGTAAGAGATGCCTTGAACTGAAAGATCATCTTGAATCACTCAGAGTGGCACCGCCTGTTAATTTCGAAAGTGCACTAAGAATCCTCCATGTTCCTTGAGGCGTTCTAGAGTGGTCCACTTTTGAAGTCAACCCTGAAAAGCTAGGCGTAGTAAAGGACATATTTCTGGAAATAATTTTTCTGAAGATTGAGGATCGCACCTAATTGATGAAACATTATCTGAGATATACACGCATTTTTGAATAATATTGGAAATCATATGCACACACATAATACTAATGGCTGCTCCTTATGGCAGATTGGTGACGGTTATGATAGTATCTTTTCTCTTCGGGAACTTGGCGCGTTGTGTAAAGTAGGTGAAGTTCCTTTGTTTATGCTAATTAATACAGTTGCATTTACTAATATATTGGTTGGTTTATGTTGCTGCAGGATGATGAAAATTTTGAGGAGAGATCTCAAACTGAAATCAGGAGAAATATTGATCAACTGCTGGAAAATCTCACTGTAGGTTGTAATTAAATTAAATTGTCTTGTTAATACTAATCACAATTCCATTGATTATATAGAAACCTCCAACGGATGAGAATACAGAGCTAAACTTTCGCCTAGCAAAAAATTTACGGAATACAAATATAAACACCTTAAAATGGGAAGATCCACTTTCATCTCAAATAATTAGTGATAATTCTATTATATTTAATACTCTGCCTGATCATTATAAGCAACAGTTCTTGGTATGTTTATGATTAAATTTTAATGTGTACAGTCAAAGCTCATTACAGTGAACCACTCAGTTCTGTATGTAAAAAATTTTTTTTGTTCACTGTAACAAGTGATCATTAATTATAAAAGTATTATAAAAAAAAATAAATTGGACAAACAGAATAGGTCTACTATAATGAGATTTTACTATTGTTCACTCTAACGAGGTTCACTCTAACAAGCTTTGACTGTATATACATGAGTTTTATTTTTCTAATTTAAATTGTCATCATCATCATGTAGGAACTTGCAACACGAATGAAACCACCAATTCCTACTGCAGTTGAAGGGGAGTGCTATCTGTTTGCAGATGCATATCAAGTTGAGGAGACTTCTGAGACAGAGGACTGGACTGTGTTTGTACATAATAAGATTTGGATAGAGCTAGAAGAGACTTTACTGGAAGTAGTAGAAGAGATTTTCTGTATATTGTAAGTAAACAGACATGTTTGTGTTGTTTTCAGAATTCTCATGATTATAAATAATGTAGGAGAGAAATATGGAAAAATCCGGTGTACAGAGATTTACAAAAAGATATACAAAAGGATCTCAATGAGAATGGATATCTAACTGATGTTGTCATGCCATTAATCCGGGCTGCATTAAAGAAAATTCCACACTATAAATGTATACGGGTGACAACGTAGAGTATTGCATTTATCTGATGTTATTATTATACTTCCTTATTGTTGGAAAATAAAATTATTTTTTATCTAATTCTTTTAAATGACAAAATTTTGTTTATAATTCTGAAAAGGAAAGTAAATCCAGTAAAGCCAGGCGACTTACACAAGGCAGTGGTAAAATTGGGAAAAAGCCGGATGCTATGTGTATTGCCACAATCAATGGATTTGAGTTTGAAATCATGTTTCTTGAAGGTTCACGCTTGATTACTGGCAACAACAAGTTCCATGATGATGATGTGAAACTCTGGCGTGAGGGTAATGATGGAATGTGGCATATTAATAATGCATGCAAACCAAAAAGGAATGACTTTGCTGTAATAAATATTCAAGTTTTTAGTAAGTTTTATCATGTGTTTGCTTGATTTCTTTTTTTTATCTTGCATTAACTGATTTCATTTAATGCGCAGAAAACGAAATGGCTTTGAACGTTTTAGTAAAAGATATAAATGGTATCGGTCGTTATTATCACTTAGACAAAGCAACTATACCACTTGTAAAGTCAGGAGGTAGTTCGATACTACAAATTGTGCGATTGCTACTTACACTTCGAGTAATCATTTCACAATATTTTTTAGTACATGGTTTAGCTTTATAGTATAGTATGTCTATTGCTATCTCAACTCATTTTATTTAATATTTGAATTTACAGAATATAATAATTGTTGATGTGAGTTTGTTGTATGAAGCTATGAAACATCGAGCTAAAAGCCGGAAACGAGGAGTCAAGAAAACCTCTACTACCACATTGTCACCAAAAAGAAGAAAGAAGTGATTACTTGGAATATGTATTTTTTTTTTTAACTTCCTAGTTTGCACAAAGTATGCGAGCAAATGCAAAATGCTTGCACCAGAGATAGTCTTCACTGAATAGGTGCATCAAAAATTAAAAAAATGGATTTTATTATTACTTTCAATCAATAAAAGCTCTAAATTATGAAAATAAATTTATTGCGACCTTGATTCGAATAAAAAACACATTTCTTAAGATTTTAAAGCTAATTTTGAGTTAATTCTTCAATTAGTCAAATTAATCTTTAGTTAATTATTTACTGCGGGTATCCTGCCAATTGATATGGCTATAACCAATTATTTGATTATTCAATTATTATGTTATTAAGGATTTTTGCAGAGTTTTTGTATTGTGACGTAAAAAAACGTGTCCGTTAAAAGCACTCTGTTTCACGTGCCGGACTAAAAATATAATATATAAGGTGTCTAAACCTTCTTCGGCCGGATAACAAATAGGATTATTAATCCTAATAAATGCCCCGTTTATAGTGCGGTCGACACTCTCGTTAATAAAACCGGTATAGAATAAAGCTTAGGGTAATTTCCACTAAGGCGTCCCTTAGAGAATTAATTAATTCTTATATTTATCACTATTCGAAAGTGTCCTTATGAATATACGTGATAATTATTTATAAAGAGTGGATGAATTACATAATGTAAACGGGTATAATTATGGGGGGGGGTAATTATGCGGATTTAATATTCATTAATAAAATTATTACAGACAGGGAGATTTCCAAATTTGGAATGGTCTTCTAGAAAATTTTGTTGATCCTTTTTACTATTAAAACTATAGATGCCGCCCAAATTCATTTTCAAAATCCCAAATCCCAAATTACTATTAAATTACATAGTGCCAAATCCCAAATCCCAAATCCCAAATCCCAAATTATTTTAATATGCCAAAATTAATTTGGGCGGCATCTATAATTAAAACATCCAAAACAATACAAAACAATGTCATTAGTTAACTACAAAACGTACATAATAATACAAATTTGTTCTTAAGTAAAGTTGTTCATTTAAAAGGTGATTATTATTGGGTAAATTTAATCCCGATAGGATAAATAAGAGTTATCCTTTTCGATGAAGTTCTTTGTATACTATAAAATTCGTTGGTAATTATGCAAATCTTTTTTGTTATTAATTTTGTGCACTATAAAATTCATTAGCAAATTGCCAAACTACTGATTCTTTTTAATTAAAACAGTCAATATTTATTACTGGGCAGGTTTGATTTCAATAAAATAAAATAATAAATTTTGTGTGCTCTTGTGACATAACGTGTCCGTTGAAGCTATAGATGTCACTAAAATTATTGAATTGCGTCTTGCGTCACTCATCATAATTTTTATGACTGACGCAAGACGCAATTTCGTGATCGTTTTATAATAATAATTTTATTGCGGGACAAACGTGTTATATAGAAAATATTAAAAAAAAAAAAAAAAAAAACGTGATATACGAATCAACACGCGCTCAGATAGAGTGTTAATTAATTGTTATTGTTATGATTAGTTAACCAGTTACATGTTTGTTCCTTAATTAGTAGACATTAGAATGATGCTGGATAACATTGACTTTTATTAATTATGTTTCCAAAAGTTACTTTAAGCATCCCGGGAAACATAAGATACATTCGTATAATATGTATTTTATTAATTAATT